CTTTTCAGGCAACTCTGGCAGTGAAACACTTAGCAGCTGCTGAGGTCCCTTACAAAATAAAAGCATCAAAGCATTAAGTATAAAAATCCCCCAAAAAACCCTGTTTTAGTCATGCCTCAGTTTTTCTTTACAGCAGCATTTTTACATACAGCTCAGTGTTTATTGTCAGTGGGTTGGACCAGTAAAACTATTGCATAACAACATATAGCATAGTTGCACGTTGTTCTCCTTCCTTTCAAGTGTAAAGAAGTTTAAACACACATTTAATCCCTGAGAAGTTCTTTGGCAAATAAGTGAAATTTCACCATTACATCTCAGGTTTTTCTACACAGGGCAGAAAAGCTGATGTAGTGAATAAAAGAAACCTGACAGCAGCTTAAACTTTAATAAATAAATGTGTAAAGAAAGAAAGAAAGAAAGAAAGAAAGAAAGAAAGAAAGAAAGAAAGAAAGAAAGAAAGAAAGAAAGAAAGAAAGAAAGAAAGAAAGCATCTGCAGCTCATTACCTGGACTCAGTCCTTCAAGAATAAGATATCCACAGATAAAGTCTCGTTCTTACTGTGGCATTGCAGTAAAACCACAAATTTCTATAGTATTTAACAAAGAGATAAAAAAAAAAGTCAATCTCTGTCATTTAACAGTTTATCTTTTATCTGCTTAATCTGGGGTAGGATGCCACATCTTTGTTTTTAGAAGGCTGTTATACTGAAATAAATTTAGAGGGCAAAATGTATGCCCTTCTCCATTTCTTTGCAGCTTTCACATTTTCCCATTTGCTGTTCTCTTACATTTCTACTGGGGCTGTGCAATTCATCAATTTCAACACAATTCTGGCTTTCAATGATTATTAAAAAAAAAACTGGCTGATCGAGATAAAAACAATTATTTGGCCACATTCTGTTTTGCATTAAAGCTCGTTCTGCCTTTCAGCACATCGCTTTTGCCAATTTTGCTTTTGTCAAGTTCACATTAATTTATTTTCTTTTAAATTCTAATTAAAGTTTGTGTTTAAATAAAAAAGGCAACTTTCTTTTTTGTTTAAGTTTAATGATTGACCTATTTTTCCAATGTCTCTGGAAAAAAACCCCCACTGTTAAATAATGACAATCTTACCACTGATTGGGATTTTTTACCACAATCAAGAAGCTTTTCTTTAAAATGTAATTAAACAAGATGTAATTTTATATTACAGATGCTTGATATCAAACTTTTGCTTTCACTAAAAGTCCAGATTTACTCCCATTCAGACTGTGGTTGGGTTGAGGTTTAATAAATCTATTTTTTTCCCCAACACCCAAGTGGAACTTTCTTCTGGCTCCTCTCTAATTCACACAGCATACGTGATTCGGCACCGATTTTTACAGACTCACTAGGATTTGTGACTCCACCTGGTTTTGAACAAAGAATCTTCTGCGTGTGGGGCCAGTGTATTAACCACTGCATCATGGAGCTAAACAATGGGGAGTTTGACTGTTTGCCATAACCAGGCAGCTACAGTTTGGACCTCTACTCATCAAACATGCCTCGGCTGAGTCCACAAATTATATTTCCCAAAACTGCAACATCAAAACCATCCCTTATCGTCAGACGTTGATTTGGGTTTTTAAATGGCCCGCGGGCAGAACGGGATGTCCACACTTGAAGTCCTGAAATAATGGTGGCTGTCTTCAGAGGCTATGTGAGCAGACTAGTTGATTGTTTCCCCTACTGCCAAATAAGTTTCTGATAAATATTTAAGCTGCTTCTCTCAGTTTCATCTCACAGTGAATTGAAGCTGGTTAAAGGTGCATATTGAACATCACTGAAAAGCTACAGAGACCTCTCTCTGTTCATTTCTTTTGGCATGTTCATCAAATAAAAGCCACTCTGGGCCAAGTGCCCTGCCTTTATCAGAGGTTTTTCTTGAGCTGTGCCAATTCAACTCCGATTTCACTGAGGATTATTATTCCACCTAGTTCATTTCCCCACTTCAGACAGTAATAAGTGAGTGGAATAATCACCTGCAGCACCTGGCTTATAACTCCAACCAACCCCGACTATTACCATATTTGAGAAACCTTTTAATTTAAGACGCCCCAGGGGGGTGGGGGTGGGGGGTGATTTCTGTGAAAGTACAATTCTGCTGCAACTCGAGGGTTTATTTTACACTTCTCTTAGGTGTTAATTGGGGCAGCTTTCACACAGGTACACTGAGTATTTGGTAAGCCGGCAGCAACTGTAGAGAAAACCGGTTCGGTGGAGCTGCACAAACACGCACAAACAGTAAAGTTAGAACATTTTCTGTTTATCCTGTAAGCCAACAGGAAAAGAAATTCTGCCTCTGGGCCTAATTTTTGTTTTCTTTTGTCAGCTCCAGTTACATCAGGCTCACACCACAATCAAACCACATCGAGTGACACAACTGCAAATGGAAGTTAAACTCACTGCAGTGCTATTTTGTTAGCAACACCAAAACCTCAACTACTATGACACTTGTGTCAATTTCCCCACAAGTATTTACACTTCACATGGTCACAGAAGTGTCACAGGGTTTATATGAGGCTATATTAGCTCATTTTGGGAGGTGGAAGTGGTTCAATGAAGACTTACAGTACAGTTTATAGCTTTAGAAAAAGTGGTTTCTACTCAATATTTTGCTTTTACAAGTCAAAAATCATTGCACACCACAGGGGAGATCATGGTTTTAGTTCTTTTTAGATCCAACAGGAGCATTTGAGACTGGATTGTGCTAAACCATAAGTGTTTGCTTGTATGAGTTTCCTCTAATCTTTTGGAATAAACCGATTCTGGTCAAACTAACTCATCGTCTACAGCTCACATTACCTGTGGTAAACTGCAAGGTTCAATTTTAGGTACCATCTCATTTTCTATTTATATGCTTCCTCCAGGCCAAGTTATACAAAGTTATAAAATCTTGTTCACTCTAGATTTACTTGATCACTTGGTTTCTTCAGGGGTTGCAAACCTCTACTATCAAAATAATCATTTTTGAAGGTTTATAATGATAGTGAGAGTCTATTAAGCATAAATTAGATACTTTACTACGTTTGACCACATCCAATGCCTTTACTGTGACTTATTTATTAATAACTGGTACTTATGTCATGTTTTGTTGCGAATTATAAAACTAAAATAACAATAATTTGCTTTTTAAATTATCAGCACAATGATAATAGCATGTATAAGCCTAATATGTATGCAATATTTATGTCGCATACATATTACCTACTTATGTTTACACAAATTACTCAAATTAAAAACAGTGTCCTTCTATAATAACTAAGACAGGCAGCAGCGCTAACTTCTTTAACAAAAAGTCCATGTCAGAGTAATGATATGAAGCCAGAAGCCAACAGCATTGGGAGTGAAAGCAAACAGACCTGTTCACGCTTTTTAAATATTTGAATTCCCAGCTAGAGGGGTTTAGGACTAGATATTTATGTGTATATTTCCACCAGTATTGAGGTTTAATTGCTTGCAAAATTAAGAGGAGAAGGTCTCCAGGCAAAAGATAAATGCTGGAGATGGATCAAAACAAGCGTAGAGCTGGAGTTTTGTGACCCCACTTAGCATTTTAATTGAGCATTATCTGTGGCATACCACAAGGTTCGATTTTGGGTCCTGTTATAGTTCCTATTTATATGCTGTCCCTAGGATAAATGGATTTTAAATAGATACCTTAAATCCCTAAAACACACACTTCTCTTTAATTAAATGCATCAAATAAATAAATAAATAAATCATACATCATGCTCTTCCCTGATCTACAAATCACACAAACCACTCTGAAGGTGTCCTAGGACCCTAAAGCCAGCAGTCAGAAACGTACTCAGCTCTAACCTTTGAACTAGAAAAGTTACCCTTTCCTGCTTCTCCCAAATAACATCTACTATTAAAATTAAACAAAATATTAGCTGGAAAAAGGTTCATTCTTGTACTTCGTCCAGGCTAAATTACTGCAAATGAAACACCACTCTCTCACCTCCAAACAGTTCAAAACGCAGCAGCGAAGCTTCTTACTGGTACAGACGGCATCACATCATCCCAATCCTCTGACTCCAAGTACATTTTAGATTTTCCTACTCATGCTTAAAGCCAAGTAGCAGAAATTCTGACCCCTTATATAACCTACTTCACATTGTTAGAAAGAGCCCCACCTGAGGAAGTGGAGGTGCTTCTCCCATCAGGAGCCCTTGGCTTTCTAAAACCTGCCTGAGCAGATAAGGCTCGTAAAATCTGTGACTTCCTGTAAAAACACGTTTTTGTAACCTTGCTTTTAGTCATGTGATTTTTCCGTCTTTTTACCCTTTAATCATCTATTACGTTATACAATTGCTTGTCTGTCGCCTCTTTTATATTTGTTGCAAACTATATTATTCTCATTCCATTTAAAACAACAACAACAAAAAAACAAATTCAATGGATTTTGTACTATGAAACCAAACCCAAAGAGTAGATTTAAAATGACACACTTCAAGGTGATCAACTTCTCTTCCTAAAGAACAATTGCTCTCAGAATACTCCGGCAAGTAAAAAAGTAACGTGTGAAGCATTTCTCCCAGTAGCCCACATAAACAGCATGCCCTGCACTCCCGAGATGACCTCTCTTTCCTTTATCATCACTACACTGACATTCATTAAACATCCACCACGGGGAAATAACTACATATAATGGCCGTCCACCAACACAGAGTGCTGAAAATGGCTTTTAGCATGTAGATGTAGAAAGAAGCCACATGCAAGCCACATGACTGATTACCTTTTATTTGCACTCCATCAACCCAAATCCCTGGCTGCTCCCTCATTAACTTCATAAAAACTCCAATTTGTACCCTTGTGTCCCACAAGAAGCCACTCAAGGGCAATCTTGGGGCTCACCTGCAGTTTGCATGCACGCCAATGATGCCCCAAAAGAGGTTACACTCCTTACACATAAAAGCAAGCTATGCACTGCACGGCTGACCGTAGGCAACATACATAGCCCCCCACCTCCACACCCACCTGAAGAGCAGGAGATGAGGAAAACGGCGAAGGCCAATTTGGTGGCGTCTCCCATTTTCCATCCGAATCGGATCCTCTTGACTAGAAAGAGAATTTTACAAAAGCACAAAAAGCTCCAGAAAATTTTTCAAAAGATCTCAAAACGATTGAGTCAAATTAAATGTCTTGTTGTCTCTGGAAATATTGCATCTTTAAAAAAAAAAAAGTCAAGATCGAGGCTACATCCAAAACATCCCAGGTAATGCAAGCCTCACTAGTCCAAAAAAAGAAGACGGGAGGATGATGAAGAAGAGGAAGAAGAGGAGGAGGAGGAGGGGATGGTCGCTGGTATTTCCAGGTTTATACACAAGCAATGCAGGGTGAACTGATGGCACTGGAGCCGGGGTTATCGTGTACTTGCCAGGTCTGCAACAGCAGCATTGTTCACCTGTGCCCGGTGGTGCTATTTTTCAGATAAACGGTGCACAGACCCGAGCCACAGCCGGGCAGGGCTAACATCCATCGGACTGCAAATCAAACGCACTCCGCTCTCCAATCAAACTTCTCCTAGGCGAGCTCCGTCGCATAGCTCTCAAAATGTCCAAACTGCGTCGAAAGGGAGCATTTCCACTCTCCCGCTATTTGCAAAAAAGAATTTAAAAGCTTTATCTTAGGTGTTATATTCCGTGCAGAGGTTTTAGGCTTCGTCCGGCTGGGCTGCCCGGCCACAACCACGGCTCCGTCCGCTCCAGCAGGGAAACAACCGATTACCAGACTGCCTTTCCCCCCCTCCCGCTGCGACAGCCCTCTCCAAAGTGGGCCAAACAACCGTTCCCGGTCCAAAAGATTCGAACGAACAAGCGGAAAGACTATCATATGATAGCACTAGCCGCTGAAGCTGCCGTTAATCCACGTAGCTGTCGAGTTTAGGACGAGCTGATTTTCCCAAGTCCGTCTCCTCCTCGCCCCCTCTGCTCGGGACGATTTCAAGATGGCGTCACTGGCACCCTGTTAGGCTTACCCAGCTCATACAACGAGCTTCCAGCGAGGGTTTTCAAAATAAAAACCACAGCGTTTACGCTTGTAAACGAACTAAAACGGTTGTAAAGAGAAATTTTAGTTTACTGAAATAAAAAATAAAACTACGCAACCGAAGGAGAAAACCTATCCTTTTTTAGGTAGATGTTTAGACGTCCTTTTAAAATGAATTTTATAAATTCTGTAAAAAGAGGCTTTGGTACGAACATTTATTTAAATCCTGAGTACTAAGTGACTGTTTCCATTATTATTTATAAAATCTGCCCCCTAAATTAACAGAGTTCTCAAAATGTTTCAAAATGACATGATTTAAGATGTACTTTTGTGTTTCAATACAGTTTGAACTCTCTTAGGCAGCTTTCTTGTCATTTCTTGAAGTAGTTTTTGGGAATAGTTTTCCAGGCTTTATGAAAACCATTCAAAGCTCTTCTTTGGATGTTGGCTGCCCTTTGTTCTGTTTTCTGTCAAGGAGCTCCGTTTGCCTGCTCCCTTATTCACAAGGAGTTGCCACGGCGGGTAGCTCCACGTCTTTGAGTTGGCAGATTTTGACTCTGGCCTTTGTATAAATAAGAAAAAAATATCGCTACCACCACCACCACCACATAGAATCACATAAACAAACGTATTTTAGTATTTCGAATGTTTTTGACATTTTTGGTGGGAGGGTTGCCCTAATTCTGAAAGAACTGCTAGTCAACTTCCGGTGCCAATCTGGCTAACTTTATCCAGCTTGACGATGTGCTTTATGAGCTAGGGATTGTTTTTGTCCGGGAAGGCTGTTAGCTTTGCTTTCCAGTGCGTGCCGTATAATGAAAAGATGGGCGGTCACATTTCTTTAAACATCCTTTCAAAACAAGAAATGCCCAATTTGTTACACATTTATACGTCTTTACAGTAACTTGCATTAATTTTAATTTGTGCATGCTATATTGTATATCATTAGTCAGCGTGTACTTATTTTATACACCTTATGTTAAAAGAAAAACTATTTATACTACAGCCATCTACAGTGGTGTTGTTGAGGTTTAAACTACACAAAAAATGTCCTTTTTCTAATCAACAGTATGCTCATTATACAGCTCAGCACTCATATAGGTCAACACATGCCACACATAGGCTACATATAGCCTCACTTTGCAGTATGTGCTACTATACCTACATATATCAGGTTTCAGCATGGGTTGGGTGTTCAGTAATAAATGCTGAGAATACCATGAAGTACAGATATAGGCTTGGCCCATCCCCAGATCTGTGTGACACTAATCTCTCTAATAGCCTGGAGCAGATCTCCAACCATAAGCGCTGCTAAACGATTAGGAGGTCAAAGGTCTCGGGGGATTTCTCTGCCAAGCTGGAAGCTGAGTCACCTGTTCTATATTGGAGTGTTGGCTTTCATCTTCAGCAAAACACGGGGTCCTGTACATAGCTTAATGGCTGGGGCTCAAGGCACTGACAAAGGCCCGGGTGAGGAGTTCAGTTCTTGTCAATGTTATTCCCCTAGCAGCGTTTTCAAACTTTCATCACAAATGAAATCTCTGTGGAAAGAGCGAAAGCAGCCCCAGCAGGATGCTCATCATTTCAGAGATATTAGAAACATGAATCAAAAGGCTTGTTTCTGAGTATGTATGAGCATGCTGTGAGCATAGCTGTGGTCACCAAGTCACCACATAATCAGATTACACCTTCATTGTCACACTCCTTTCTTGCGTCACGTATAATTAACTAATTCACTTACAGAAGTTTAGGATGAGCCGCTGCAACAATAGCTTCATGATCAGCCTATACCACACCTACAGGATTCATTCATCCATGGGTTGTGTTGTTGCTAATTGATGAGGCATTTTGAAGCAAATTCTTTAGCGTGTGCTGTAAGCTGATAACTGAGAGCCCTGTTCTAAATCACCAATATTGTGAAATAAATCACCCCGAGATGAATAAGTGGTAAGAAAATAGATCGGGAGCTAATAGAAAAGTTCCAGTTTGCAGGCAACATCTCAGCTAAGATGTAAGACCATGTGGCTGAAATGAGTTTCACAATCTATGAGCCTATGGTTTGATTGATTTTGATGTCCAACAAAATATGAAGATATTAAAGAAAACAGACACCCTGTGGAAAATGTAGGATTGAAGTCTTTTGTCATTTCTTTAAGTAGTCTTCAGGAATTAGTCTTCAGCCCAAAACCATGGCAGAGCCTCCACAGCCCGTTCTCACTCCCGAGGCGTAACATGTCGACGTTTTGTCACGTCCCGCGGCGTTCCTGAGGAACGCGAAAGGAGACCTTCGGCGTTCTTATGGTAGGCGGCGGGTTATGGCTGAAATCCAGTGCAATGACGCTCCCGCGGTAACAGACGTTCCAGCCCTGTATTCCAGCCCTAAACCAACCTTATCCCTAGCCCTAGCCCTAACCTTATTCCTGATCCTAAATTTGTCATGTATCTTTCCCCCTCTCTCAATGGAAGAGAAACCTTCCAGAAATTCCTGGAAACTCTAAAACTTCACCATTTCTTAATTGGAAAAACGTCAATGTAAATTCACTTATAACATTTCCTATAATCCAGGTAACTAAAATTTGAACAAACAAAAATACAGAAAAGCCAAGCCTCACACGACCCGTTTAAAAAGGTTTCTAGAGCAAAATGTCACACATAACCTAACCTAAATGAACTTCAGTCTGACCTCCAGGGCTTGAATCTGAAGTCCATCCAACAAACCTCTAAAAGGTGAACATGGATGCATCCATGTTGAAGTTAAACCTTAAAGTAAAATTATTTATTTTTCATTAGTTTTTATTGGTTTAAAAGCCTTATTTTTCAGTTCAGTTTGAAAATGTTTAATTTGCCTTATTTTGTATTGAGTCGGCCCTACGATTGACTGGCAGTCTGTTCGGGGTGACCCTGTCCTTTTCTTGGCCATGGACAGTTGGAAAGGCGCCAGCCTGCTCACAACCCCGTTCTGGAAAATGATTATGGATGGATGATTTGGATTGATTTAGGAACTTCACAACAGGCAGTAATGCAATACAAGAAAACCAGTACTACTCCCATAGAAATCACAGTATACAAGTAATGTTTGTGGCTTTGTGTTTGACATTTGCTAATAAACGCTAACATTAATTGAATTCATAAGAATGGTGTCAGATTGGTGTCCTGACAAATAAAGTTTTACTTTCTTGAATAAGTTCATGGAAATGTCTCTAACCAGTCCTCCAACTACATGATCTTATCTGCGTTCATAAGTGAAGTGAAACAAACATTTTTCAAGTGCTTCTGAAATGACACGGGATTGTTTCCACCTCAAAACTGACTTCAGATATTTATCATCACCATTTTTAAGTTTCCTTTTCAGTCACTGGTTACTTTAAGTCACATTTGGTATTTGGCTAGAAAATATCACAATTTGGGTTAAAATACTGTCCTGCCAATGTATCCATTTGCATGAGGATTTCCATAGAGAGGAGTTTTCACCCACAGTGAATGTGCCTTTGTGTAGTCCTGAGTTCAGCAGGAACGCGAGACGCAAGAAAAAGCAAAAAACAAAAACCATGAAACATCAAAAATACAGTGTGAACAGTACAGACTGTGGCTGCAGTGGACACCTTTCATGTTTTTAACACTTGTTTTCATTTGTATGTTACGAATTAGTTTTTTTTCAATGGCTGGCTGATCCACCAACAGCACAACTAAGAGTGGCCCGCAGACCGGTTGTACAACATACTTTGTACTCTGCGTCTGTTGACACTGTTTAATGAAATTCTCTGCAGGTAGACCACAGTGTATCAGTACCACTGGACCACCAACATGCTACCGCTGCTAGCCCATAATTTGAGCTTTAGTAGCAGTGAAACAGCTTTGGCTTTTTGCTGGTCCCAGGAAATTCACCCCACGCTAAACTACATCTCAGACTCTACACGCCTCATTTAGCATGTTAAATGTTAAAGTTCGTGACAGCACAATTGGAAAGGGACTAAAGAAGGATGGTTTATTTGTAAGGGTTTCCAGGAGAAGGCCTCTTCTCTTTAATAAGAATGTGGCAGCACAGCTTAAGTTTGCAAAGTCGTCTATGAACAAACCACAAGACTTCTGGAACACTGAACTTTGGACAGATGCGACCAAAGTAGAGATGTTTGGCTATAACGAACAACATCATGCTACAGGACAAGGGTCTCATGCACAGCGGGAAATCTTTAACAGAGTGGCTGTGTGGCAGGGTGTGGGCTGTGGCGCGACTGGCGGGGGAGGTGGACATACCTGAGCGGCATCAGTAATCACGCCTTGCCAGCTTAAAAGGATTAAACGGGGTCCTGAGTGTGTTGTTATTGTGTGGCTGGCAGCTGAAAAGCTGCAACCGTCTGTGTAAAACGACAACTGGAATAAAAGACGTGTGCTGAAAAGCGTGAAAATGTGGTCGGGTCTGCCATATGTCTGTTACACTGGTGCCCAAACCCAGGATTGGGGCATGGTGGAACCGCGACAGGGCCAGCCAGGGGAGGTGCTGGCCCAAACGGGGGCCGAGTTTGCGGCCACGGGGAGGGAGCAGGCAGCGAAACATTGGGAACAGCTGCAGGACTAAACCGACTGCCAGATGCAGGCGATAGAGAGTCTGGCAGCTAGGATCGGTGCCTGGCCGACACGGTCGCCGGCTCCACCGGCTCCCCTCGACCGTATGGGAGTGGCTGGTGTCTGGCCTGTTCTAGCACCCGTGCCAGTCCCCAGGGTGAGGCCAGCCAAGGGGATAGCCTACCTCCGCACCACACTCTACTACACTCCTCGGGTGGGAGTGGCTAGTGCCCGGCAGGTGCCTGCACCCATTCCTGTTCCCTGCAGGGCAGCCGAGCAACCTCCACTTCCACCACCTGCTAACCCACCTGCTCACCCCGACCTGGTGGGCAGTGTGCTAGAGGGACCTGCTCTGCTGGAGCCGGGGATCGGGGCACCGGAGAGACTTGCTTGGTCTGAGCCGGTGGACAGTGT